AAAATGTTTTATTTCTAGCTCGTAGCTAAACGTTCCAGATACTACGGTTAGTTTATAAATGTTATAGAATATATAAAAATAATATTAACAATAATAAAAATATTAACAATAATAAAATGTACTAACACGCAAAAAATCAATTCCGTTCTTTGTGTTTGTATTATGTAAATTATTGTTAACCTTTGAATAAATAGTTGCAAAGTAGTGTCCAAGCAGAACATAGGGGCGCTACACGATGTGAACTTTGATTCTGAAGTTTCGATTTAAAAGTTGCAACTTTAAAGTTTTCATCCGAAGACAACAGAAAACTTGAACTACTTTCGGTACTTTAAAGATTAGTTTTATTAAAACTATCAAACTTTTTATCTCATTAATCGATGATATCTTTTATTTTTAAAATCAATTTAGTCCAAAATACATGTAATTGCTATTTGTAAAAATTTATATCAAACGCGTCATACAAAAATCAGAAATGAACTTATTTTTATGATACTTGCTATAAAATCTTTTATATGAGTGAAACGAAGGTGACAATGAACAACACTACCCCATTACATAAAACGCAGAAATAAAAATTTCAACGGTATTCTGTGAATTCGTCCTTTGATGAGAGGATATCGTGCAAAATATGCTGAAAGCTTTTGGACATTTCCACTTGTAAACAAAAAAAAAATCTTATTCATTCAACTGCTCTTTTCACAGAGTACGATGAATTTTCCAAACGCGACAAATAAAGTATTTAATACGTGCAGTGTCCCTCCGAAAAGCGACAAAGGGCTGTCGAGACAATACAAAATCGAGTTGAACGAGTGCACCGTGCATATTCGATTCCTTTCACAAACGCATTACATACGCCAGAACGACTTTAACATTGCGTTGTCGTCGATTATTTGGCTTTGACACCCTCGTTCCGGAAATTGCAATTTTTCATTTACCTGCGTAGTTACAAAGTTTGAAACATGTCGTTATAAAATGGGGATCAAAGCATTGATGGACATAACCCGAAATCATAAATAAAAAGCATATCGCGATATTGTATTTGTGTGTATTCGTGTATACTATAGTAATACATAGGACATATGTACAATTAAAAATGTATGTATTGTAATAAGCAAAAATAAAGTAATATTGTAAAATGAAATAATTAACTTGTACGTGAATAATGTTATATCAAATATAATGTCTAAATTTATGTTGAAAGCCACAGCTATCAGGTAGCTTTCGAAGCGCGAGAAGCACTAAGGGTATTATCCGGCTTTACTAATGGTCCTGACCGGAGTTTCCGAATACATGTTAAAATTTGGTTCGTTGCGAATTCCCATTTACAATGTACAATGTACATTTTGGTCGATAACCCATGTTGAATCATATTCGAACACCGGTCGTAGTAAAATCATATCATACTATTATTATAAATGCGAAAGTTTAGATGGATGGATGGATGGATGGATGTTTGTAGCCTAAACGGCTGAACGGATTTCTATTAAATTCGGTATAGATGTAGAGGATATTCTGGAAGAACACATAGGGTGTTTGCTTTTGTTTTTTTTTTTAAATCCACGCGGACGGAGTCGTGGGCGAAAACTAGTGATAAATATACTTGGTTGTATTTTGATACATTTTTTACAACGTATTTCTACAAAACTCATTAATTTTCCTTAAAATTTAGTGGAAAAATTATTATTCAACTTTTAAAAGTCGTACATTTTTGTTACATTAATGTTGAAAGGGCTGAAATATTATGATTAGTTCTTCAAATGCAAGGGACTCGATTCCATATCTATAATATTTATTAAAAAATTACTGTAATATTTTTATGTTAATTTTTGCTTTTAATAAGTTTAATATAATTTTTAAGATCAAAACTTATTTAAATAATAGAGATTACAGATTTGTGATGGTGTCGAAGAGAAGTCCCGTTTTCTGAAGCATTCGCAGGTGAGAAATTTAATTACCACGTATGAATTGGAGTATTTCAAACAAGAACCAAGACAACTTTAATTAAAGTAAGTATTTCTACTTATAAGACTCGCTTAATGTTTTTCCACGTTAATAAATTTATTTCTTTATAATTTTACCTGCAAAAATACAGTTAAAATTGTTATTCAAGGTGCTAATTTAAATGTTTTCTTGTTATAAATGTCTTTATTTGACTTGCGCCGTGCAATGATGAAAGATTGCGTGTCTTGGACATAGATGGCGCTAGGAGTCCTATTTCAAAGCTTTTTGTGTGTTGCTTAACATGTAATGTTTTGTAAAAAGACATCTAAATTTGATTTGAGTGGGAGGTAAAAAGCAAATTAATAGAGATTAAATAGGTTGCTGAGGTGAATTTCAAATGAATTCTCACTTAACGAAAATTATAATTGTGATAAATGTATTCTCAGAACATAGATGTCACTGCGAGTGATCTCCGAATGGAACATTTACCTCAAAAGATCTATGTTCAGAAAGTTTCACAAAGTTCCGATGATAATGCAACTTTTATATTCGATTTTTTCAGTTGTTTTTTTTTTTACTTTTCTGTTGTAAACTTTTATTTCCTCCTTGATGAATATTTGAATTTAAAGTTCGATTCTTCACAGCCATCGCGACGAAGTTGGGACAAAACTGTATCGCCCCGTCTCCGTTCAGAATAGTAAAGCGCACAAAATAAAACAAAGTAAGTAGGTACGCTACAGCAGAATCCTTTTAGTGGAAGCAGAATATAACCTACTCATTATTGAAAATATCTTTAAACTTCACATACTCTTCATTAAAATATTAGATCGGAAACTGTTTTACCCTAATTTTAAAAGCGTATTATTAGTATTATTTAACACGCGATGTTTCTGTCGTCGTCGAATCGTTTTAACATTATTCCTTGGCCAATTGCATATAAAAAAAATCTTTAACCAACTGACGTGTGTTATTGTAAAAAAAATAATTACAATCTGTGCTCAAGTTTGAATAGTTATTATTATTACGAGCATTAGAGTTAGGTGGAATACAACAACCCTTTGCTCTTAGGTCTCCCCTCTATTGTTTGTACAACGACAGACTAAATGTGAGTTTCCACTGACGATAAACCGATGTAAAATAAACTATCTCTGTTTTAAAAAGCGAATGAGAAAGATAACAATATGTTTACGTAACAATGCTTCGCCAGTGAAAAATCAGTTTACTTCACAGACGTAAACTTTTTGTTTTGGTACCAGTTGAAAACTTGTTAATTTATAACAACTGCGTACATTTTATTGCATAAGCAGTGTATATCGAATGTCGTCGAAGAAAGTGTTATAACTTTTCTTTTAATTAATAATCAAGAATTAAAAGTTATATAACCCGGTCAAATTAAATATTGAAGCTATAAAAATTCGCATAAAGCTGTAAATTGATAAGAATGTTTAGACTACTATTATATGTAAAGTCAAAAGAAATGTATTCTTCGCCTTTTATTATAGGTTCAGTCATCGGATACTATTGCTATTTTTGAAAAAGAACATTTCATCGTTGTGCCCAAAGAATACCTGTTTATACCGTAAGTGACAGATAGTAAACAGAAACTCCATATAAATTAACACCACCATCACAGATATACAAAATCTGTTATTCCATTAAATGTAAACTATGTAATTTAACCTTGCTTACCTCGTGTAGTGAACATAGCGTTTTTGTTAAAGTTTAAAATAAAAATATGAGTATACAATACTAAATTTAAATCTAAATTCTAAACCACAGACAAGGAACATTTTTGCTAAAACTTTACAATACAACTTTATTGTAATCGCCGTCCGGCATTGAATTTGACTTGCCTCTATTTAAATAATTTTGGCTTTGAATCGAGACTATGGATACAAAATGAAACACGACTAATATCGAATTTACTTTGTAATTTGTCTGGTTCTATAATCTATGTTTCATTACGATCTATAGATATAGATAGGTCAGTGCTTGGAAATCACTACTTTTGCTTCGTTGTGACTTAAAAGCGCTAGTTAATGTTACTGTCAGTTAAATCTTCCTGTATTTCGAATTTTTACCACGACTACCAAACGCAACCTAAAGCACCAAAATAGTGAAAATCAAATAAACCATAAAGTACTACGGCTGAACTACTGCTGTACCTGTCCAGTATACTATAGTCAGTGTTCACAGGTCATTCTTCTCTAGGTCAGGTTGGTCAATCTGTCTGATCATTTCATATCAGGCTAAGAGCTGCGCGCACGCATCGGTGAGTTACTTTAAGTTGCTGAAATTAATTTCTTTTGTTTTATTTCGATTTATTTTTCAATTGTTGCCATTTACGTAGAGCACCAAAAACGATATTTTATTTTCCTTTAAATTGGCAATATGAAAAATTAAAACTATATTAACTGCTTGTTTTAGCCGTGTAAAAATAATTATTAATAAATGAATTAGAGATTGTAGCTAATAATGTTCTTTTATTAAAATAAAGCTTATATTCTACAATATCATTGTTTTATTCTTATTCCAATAGATTTCTTTTGAATAATATCTCTGGCGAATATGTCAATTATGGAAATGGTTTTAAAAACGTAATTCTAATTCAATTGAATTAATGAAAAATATACACTTATGATCATGTTTTAAAATGAAGTGTAAATAAATATTACATTTCATTTTTATGTTTTGGTTATAAATTACATTTCTGTGTTGCCTATCTATATCAGGACAAAATTTACATGGCGTCTTCACCTTTTTCCATTTGACTTTAGTTATCGAGCGAATTGCAAACTACTAACAGAAACTTTTGTAACGGTACGCGTTAATAGGTTACAAAATGGCACAAAGAAAAAGAGGACCGACGGAATCTATTCTGATCGCTTATTAATAATTAGTAATGTCATTTGAACATTTTCTATTACTAGTCCTTCCATTGCAGACATATTGTGGTTTCCAATACATTTGTTACTGGTTAAATATTTTTAAGCCATGTACATTAAAATAATGTTACAAATTAAATATCTCATAGTAATTGTTTTTTTTTTCTTCAACAGATAATACTATTTATCAATTGTGCAACCAGTACTGTGGACTCAGTTATAGAGACGTTGAGGCTGCTTATTCGTTATACGTGATGGCGAACCCGTCGAAAAATCTGCCGCCAACGATGCAACTGAGGCAGATGAACACTGTTCGCGCGGACGATGTTGAAGAAACGGACGCGGTATACGAAAACTTGGTGACCTCCACCGTTGATAATTCAAGTAAGTAACATTTTATCTTGTTTTTGAGAAAGCAATCAAAAATCAAAGCAAGCGGTTATCAATATTGTATTTGTGATAGTTTAATATTGGAGGACCTTAACCTGAGATTCAAGGAGTGTGGGATGTTCATTGTAGTAGTCTGTATATGGCGTAATAGAGGGTTATTTTTAAATTACCAGAAAAAAGATAGCGTTACCTATTGCCCATACTGATCATATTTTATTGATTAAAAAAAGATATGGAAAGAAAAAAAAATGTTCGAATGTGATAAATAAACATATCAGTCTGTTTATAGTAAAGTAAATAATAGTTTCTGCGCTTTTATTTACTAAATCCCCGCATACTCACTTCGCGACGCCACGGCCTAGACATTTCATTGTTAAGTATAAAAAGTATAAGATTATACAATTATATTTAAATGGTATATAAGTTAGAAAAGCAGGTGTAAAACGAAGTACCATAGATTCTAAAATATAACAATTTAGCCCAACTTGCCTTCATTAATTATTAGTTATTTCACATTTACTTAAGTTTCATTCATATTGAAACCATTGTTTTAATTTGTTTAATTACACATTTTTTGTTGAACAAATATCATATTATAAAATCAAGAGAGGGAGCAACAACACGAATACCCAAACAATTATTTTTACTACCGACTGTAGCTTAAATTGTAAAAGTATAACAACGAGTCATTTAAAGCAGGTCTTTTCTCTCGATACTTACGTCGGTGTTGATGTAATGTTATTTAAATGTTCATTTATAACATCCTGAATAAAAAAATATTAACGTCAGATTTGAGTCCAAAAGTTTGGCTCGCAATTAATTTAGTAAATACTGTTTTGTCAATGACGTTTTTCAAGTTATACACATTTGATTTAAAAAAATTGATCTACCTGTCGCGGTTTTTTTTTGGTCCATCCTTGGAAAGTCTAAATAGGAGGGTAAAAGGTAGTATCTATGAATATCAGCTATCAGAGTAGGAACGAGGTTGAGACCTTAAATTTTCTATAGGTAATTTTCCATACAGCTAAGCACTGTAAAAGGTTTTTACAATATTTACCCCCTAAAGGTATAAAGTGTGGGGTGAATGTTTATATGAAGTAGCGATATTTTGTGAGTGGAAAAATTTGCAACTATTAATGGATGAGGATTTTCGTATTGAAGAAAACGTAAACAGGAAGATGATTTTTAAATTAAGAAGTCTCTACCAATTTCGAAAATACTTTGTCGTGGATGTCGAAAAAACAATTTCAGAAGCACTTTTCATTTTCAATTCATGTATTTATAAAATTACAATAACAGACAAGACAGAAAGAATACACACAGCGTATAATATGCATGCATCAGATTTGTTACTGTATGACAAATTATGGAAAACATTACATTACTCAAATATCTAAACGCGCAAGAAATCTTAAACATAACACCGAGAAGAGAGAATTACACTTGGCCTGATGTGTACATAAAACTATCTAACCAAATCGTTACAATTGTACACAAAATAAAACTGGTTCCAAGAAGCACTCAGTAAAATATAATGGAAGAATAGAGAGCTTTCTTGAAATTCCCAAACCTATGAGCGTCACCAAAAGAAGCCATGTATCTGCTCAACACTTTAAAATGCTTTAAGAAAAAAAAATGTTCAAACAAATAACTTAGAAAGTAATCCAGTATACTTCAGTATGGTAAATGTCTGCTCTTTTCAGGTTGTTAACTAATCAATAGTTCACCCAGCTTAAGTTTTTCTATTCATTTTTTATTTATAACTTTTTGTAATTGCATACCAATAGATGGGCATAAATCGGCCCAAGGGGTATACTGAAAACCAGCTCCGCATTGTTCAGGGTCAGGTGGTACACGCAAAGTCTGCAATACATTACTGTCTATACTTTTTTTTTAAGTATCATCATCATCATCATCACCATCATCAACATCATCATAATCATCAGCCATTATCTGCCCATTGTTGGACATAGGCCTTCCCCAATGCCTTCCACTCGGAATGCGGTCCTACGCCTTCCACATCCAATTATCATATAATCTTACAAATATTATAAATGCGACAATTTGGATGGTTGGATCTCGATGAATATGTCATAGATGTAGAAGAAATTTTAGAGGAACACATCGGCTACTTAATTTTTTACCGCCGCTGATTTATATTATGGATGATTTATAACTTCATAACTTATTACTGGTCAAGATCACTTTTCGCAAGCCTACGCATAAAAATGTTTCAATAACCATAATTCGTAAAAAATCCACACTCGTGTTTTTCGCGCTATCATTGCGGTATAAAAGGGTTGACGTAGGTTTACGCTGCATTTTAGAGCACTAGGTTTTTATGGTTAGGCCCTGTTTTGTTTTTCTGCGCATTACAAGATATCTGATATGATCTTACAGAGAGACACTGAGCATTGTTTTCCCTACTGCCATTGAGTAACCCTGAGCCATATAATGCTTGCAGGGATAAGGAATATTCTTACGCATTTTCTTTATTCATTCTACAGAAAGAGGCGAAAGTATTGAAGACCCCATCACCGGGTGTAGTTTACTTCTTAATCCTGACGATACCGAAGCCGTCCTAACTTTAGTCATGATGCAAAATAGACATCGGTTTGCTGTTAACACAAGCCAGGCATTATCTGAACAAAATAGCGAAACCGAAACCTCAGCACAAGATAATGTATCTTCTTTATATCCATTAACTGACTCGAGTTCTGGCTTATCAAGTAACTCAATAAAATCGTGCTCTTCAAATTGGAGTCTTGAAAAGACGGACCAAGATAATGATGTTAAAGATGAAAGCAGTGCACAGGGTACATCAAGCGAGAAGCCGACTAAATTCGACTGTGATCAATGTGGTAAATATTATGCGACCTCTTCTAATTTGTCGCGTCATAAGCAGACGCATCGCAACTTGAACTCTGAATTGGCTCAGCGTTGTCGCGATTGTAACAAAGTGTACGTGTCGATGTCGGCGCTGGCCATGCATATGCTGACGCACCGCATGCGTCACGCGTGCCGCGAATGTGGCAAACAGTTCTCGCGACCTTGGTTGCTGCGCGGACATCTGCGCTTGCACACCGGCGAGAAGCCCTATAAATGTATTGTTTGCGGGAAAACTTTCGCTGATCGCTCCAATCTTCGCGCCCACTTACAAACACACTCTCCTGATAAGAAATTCGAATGCATTCGCTGCAACAAAACTTTTGCCCTCAAAACTTACCTCAATAAACATCGCGAGTCGGCATGCGCCCGTCTTGCTGATAATAATTAACTGACAACAAATTCTTTGCAACGACCTATTTCACTATTCACTTCTTTACACCTTTACGGGAAAAATAATTGTAATCACTCCAATATGCGACAGCATTCTAACTTAAAAGCAATATTTATGTATTTAACTACAGAAAAGAAACATGTAAGACTTTTAGATAAATAAGATTCTTAAAATTGATATTGTGGTATTATAATATTGTGATATGACGTTTGCAAAGTGGTATAAAATTAATCGGCTAGGAAGTTGTCCTAAATTTTATGTTGAGCTCTTACTTATATACATGCTAGGTAGTGTTCAGATTAATGGGCATTTGGTGTTTACTGGTATCTATGTTTTTGATACCGACCTGTTCTACATCATCGTAATGTATGTATGTTTTATTAATGTGTTTTAATTTTGTGATTGCTAGTATTTTTTAAACATCTTTAGTTAGTTCATACGAGTAGACAATAGTCGATTGGTGGATTTGGACTATGTTCTGTGTTGTACCATCGGCGTCCTACATCACACGGCTATTGAATTTTAAATTATTAAAAAAAAATAGTATTAGCTAATATTTGCACTGAACAAGCATCTAATTAACTTTTTAATTATTTTAACTCCAACAATAGTGGTTTAAGCCTAAACTAGTAGTGGTCATAGAGAGTAGAGCAGATCTCTACTTATCATTTGATTTAACTTGGGTTATAAATCATTAAACCCATCACTTCTTCAAAAATGTTTTGGATTGTTTGAACTTTGTTTTTATTTTTACAGCGGATGCTACCGACGGCGCTATTGCTGGGCCTTCGGGCTCCCAACGTCAGGAAACGGAGGAACCTGCTCCGGTGCCCACGATGATCTTGTATGACGCCACTAAGAGGAAGCAAATGCGTCGCCGTAAACAAAAGGAGGCGGAATACTCTTCCGATAGCACCTCCGATGACGAGAATGTAATTTTGGCTCGTATCCAGGCTACGAAGAGGAAGCTGGAAAAAGCGGGGAAGTTGCCGAAAGCCCAACCTCAAGGTGGACAGAAGAAGAAGAAGATGTAAGCGGGAGAAGATGCTAACTTTTTTGTATCCATGTAGTTTATTAGTACACAACATTAAAGTCCATTTAATTTCCCTCTCAACTGACCTGATGTCAATCGTTTCAGTCAATTTTTATTAATAGTATTATGTAAGGCGAGTGTTCCTTGCTGTTTAGTTATAGTAGAAGACAAAAAAAGTAAAAACGGTTTGTGACATTACGTTACTTTTTCTCAATACTTAGATAATAATCATTTAATAATAACTTATTAATCTCTATAATACAAAGTGTAGTTTTTAATAGATGTGCTACCCGTGTAAACATTGCTAATATATTTGACTTGATTTTATACTTCTTTTGTTTATTTAATAAATGTCTGGCCTTTGTTGTTTTCGACCGTACTTTTCAAATAACATTCAATACAACTACAAAGTACTTTTACACGACTAAAAGCTAAGTTTAGAAATCCGTTTAAAAATACAATTAACACGCTTTCTACTTTTTTGTCTTTATCTATAATTTAATAGCAACAATATAGTTATCCGACTTTTTGGGGTATGTCAAGAAAAATATTTGCATTTGTAGTTAATTAGTAGGTACTTATATACGTATTAAAATTTTTAAATGTGGAACAGTTAGGACTAACAAAAATAAAAATAAGAATAGCTATTATCTATTAAAATCGAGTAAATCTAAGGCTTGAAGCTCCAGTAACTTAATTTTTGTCTTTCTTTTCCGTCTACATTTTGTCAACTAAAAAGTAGTGCCTATCTACTACTTGGATTTTGATTTCTAAAGTTAAAGTAAAAGTTTTCATACTGTTTACAATTAATATATTGAAATTTATTAACAAGTGTTTCACATTGTCCAAGACAATAGCAAAATTTAGAACAAATATACGATTATATAAGTCGATCTACATATATTTATATATTCCTTTTTTCTTTTCTATTTCTGTCGCAATTTTGACCCCAAAAATTGTCATCAACATTGGGTTTTTCTATTCAATTTAATTATATTAGATAGCTATCTCGTACTACGAGTTTAAAGTGTGTATGTACATTGTAGTGCCAAAGAATTACACGTTAAATTTGTTCATATTAAAATATATAAATATTATAATATATGGCTGTGATTTGATTTTGATTTGCTGCGCCTAAGTGTATCGCTAAAGAACTATGTTTAATGCCGATAATTAAAAATTTCGCAAGTAGAACTTAGTGTTAGCTTTAAGGACTTATTGCATTTATATTATTGTCTATTTGATTCCTTCATTTGTTAATATATATTTTTCTATTTGTACGAGTACTATATAAACTTAGGCGTACGAATAAAATAATGGTATATGGGACGTTTTCAAGCGATTTTAATAGTGGTACGGCATATATTGTCTGGTGACCGCTTAGGCCGCCTGTTGCCACCGACGAAGGCAATTTAAATTTTAAATCTGCCAACATCAGGCCCGAAGTTTGTTAACTTCCGAATCTAGCCAGGGATTGCAGTTTTAATATCATGGCCATATATTTACAAATTGCATTACATGGTCATGATATGAAAACTGCAGTCCCTGGCTAGATTCGGAAGTTAACAAACTTCGGGCCTGAAGTTGTCAGATTTAAAATTTAAATCGCCTTCGTCGGTGGCAACAGGCGGCCTAAGCGGTCACCAGACAATATATCCCGTAACACTATTGAAATTGCTTGAAAACGTCGAATAATATCTTTATTTTATTCGTACGCCTAAGTTTATTCGAATAACAATTTGTATCCGACATTGTCAAATTAAAATATTGTTAAGTTGGTCACCGTTTACGAAATAATAAGAAAATAAAATTTATATAATTAATTCTGGTTATATTGTTGATTTGTCATTTAAAAATAATATAATATGTATTAACAAAAGTTTTTGATATTCAATTTATGTTGAAAATATTTTGTGGTGTTGGTAAATTTAAGTTTTTCTAACTGTATTTTGGTACAACGATTAGTTTAATATATGTTCCACTTTGCTATAACTTTAAGATATGTATTCTATGAAATAAATACAATTTAGGAATCCTTGGTTTTACTATTATCTCTTTTTATGGATACACTAGTAACTAGTTTCTAGAGTTTTAGTGTATACATGTTTATGCAGCTGACAATTCCTTTGAAAGCCTAAACCTACTTTGAGACAGAAATAGATAGATTGTATTTTGTAATATGATTTAGTTAAAATGCGTAATCAAAACGAACACATTAAGAACTTGATTACAGATTAAAAACGTTACTATCAACATCATTTTACACAAAGATATAACATAGCAGATAGAGTGGTGGTTACCTGTAACGTATAAATCAATAGGATTAGTAATTTTAGATGCAATAGTACTGATCCAAAGTGAATTGCAGGAATACACGATGTATTTACACTGCATCCTGGTTATTTAGACGAACGTCAAAGGAATGCCTGTGCCTGGAAGTTTGTAAAGGATGCCGCAAATGTTTGCCGTTGGGAAGTTGTGTATTACATCTGTGTATTGGAGGATACAACTTTGTACATGTATCCAACATTTGAAAATAAGTTATACATTTAAATTAAATATAAGTCATAGATATCTTTCAGTAATCCTAAAGAAAATACAATAAAAACCCGACATTTAAAGAAGTGGACACAATGTTTAAGTAAGTTTCCCAAACATCTGATATTGTGAAGGATATGTTTGTAGCAAAGTTTAAAAAAATAATATACCTTTTTATAGGAATTAAACATAATTGGTATAATTATTTTGGAAAATGGATGGCCCCAACACGAAGTAGTTAAATTTGTGTTGTGGCCAACGCATGTACGCATCAGTTAGAGATATAGCAGTCGCTCGTAGCGAGTCGCACAGATAGACGCGTCAGTACCAAAGAGGTCGTAGGTCGTATAAATAAATTTAGTGTTGACAAACTTTACGAAAAAATCACAACTGTGGTTTCCCGGTTATTGATCAGAATCTTACATAAAATCATGACTTATGCTGTGCGTATAATGACGAAGTCTTACTGTTGTTGAAGTCAGCAGGTTCGCTGTATTGTAACTACGGAAATAATTATTAAATCACGACGAAGTTCAAATTTATATATGTACCTGATTTTAAATATGCACATAAAAAACACAAATGGAACCATGAAGACAAGGTAAGTTTATTTATTTTAATATTGATGAGACGTTTTTACATGAAGAACTGAATTGCCTTTCCAATATTGTAGATAAAATACTATAGATAATAGCATAGGTTTGAATGCCGTTTAATAGCATCTAGTTTTCCAGTTTTTACGCAAGTTTGGTAGAGTTATGAGGCACAATTAGAATGTTCGCTTGAACACAAATTTCACAGTAATATTTATACAAAAATCATCACATGTCGCAACATGTTTCCAAAAGAATTGACGGTGCATTACTAATTATATTAAGCGTAAGCTTTAGGAGCATTTTTTAAAACACGTTCGTAGGTGTGAGAGATTATCAATGTTTAAAGTTCTCTCTTGTTATATTATAGGAATAAAGGCTACATTATTACGATAGTGTAAACGGACATAAAATGCTATTATAAAAGAGTATTACATCTGAACGAAAAATGTCATGAAATGGTCAATAATGCAAAGAAAAAAGTTCATTACACTTTTGTAATTCCCCATTCGAAGATACAAAATCTTATTTACATTTTTTAATATATGGTGTTTACAAGGTAATAAAAAAAAGTTTATAGAATCAGGACAAATATCATCAGATGGTAGAAAGACGTTAACTGACGACAACTAACGTATACTACGATGCAGTTTAATTCACATTCAAAGTCTAATGGAAAAGCGTAAAACTTTTATTTCTTTAACGTGTCCCGTCAGACTTACACACTTATAATACAATATATACTTAAATATAATACAATACCCGTCTTTAAGCCATCAATTCTTAATACTATCAAATAGCTGCACAGCTCAATATTCGAGGTTTGAGATGAGTCCGAAAATTATTTTAATTGCTCAGTATGGAAAGAAGTATAAAAATTATTAATTCAGTCATCGAGCCCCCTAGACAATTGAATTTTGTCGACTTATCATTCTGTATGTCATGCGATCTCTAGAATGCACTTAGGAATGGAAAAAATGTTCGTGATCGAATATTGATTTCGGCCGTAAATCCTGTAGTAAAAAGAAGGGATGGTTTCAATTACATCAAATATTATGACAATGCATTTAAAAGCTATGTACTGACCGGCGTTATAAACGACCTTACTTCATGGGTTTATTTCTATCGTAAGTTCTGCAAGAGACCGACGTTATCAGGTGATATGTAACTGTTACACGGACAGAACACTGCGTGATGAATGCATGAATGTTCGGCACGTAACTTGTTACATTACACCTCGTAACATCAGTGAGTATCCAGCTTAATAATACAAAGCTTATTTTAAAATCAAATATTTTGACTTATTAATAAAACGCAATTACATTTTCTTTCGGACAAACGGCATATTTAGGTCTAAGGAAATTGAAACAACGAAATATTTCGACGACTTTAACACGATATTGTTATAGATAATAACATAAAATGAGCAATATATGAAATTTAGATATTAACAAAGATTTTATAATATTTATCTCTTTTACAATACATACAATAGATATAATCTATAAATGAATAGTTCCATAGAAATGTAACGCATAATCAAGAGACGATTTTTGAAATGTCATTACTATGTATGATACAAATATACATATATACCAGTTTAATGATTTTTTTATCCAAATTCGGAAAACGTAGTGTATAACAAAACTGTAAGTGTAACTACTACACTTGCTAAAATGCTAATGGATTTTAAAAAAAAATGAAGGACCCGAAACATTTTTAAGGAACACTACATCGTGTTTGGTTTAAAATAATCGAGTTACTTTTTAAAAACATCAGATCTAACACTAAAATTTAAACTTTAATAAAAAATAAGCAATAAAAGGTAGTAAGAAAAGAGATTTTCTACGATTTTAGTATTAGATAAACATTCTAATGTAAATGACAAAAATTGGGGAAATATACCAAAGAAAAATAACCTGCGGAAACTATTTTCTCGTCCTTGTTTTTTGTATTACGGCTTAGATATCTAAAGGTAAATAAATAATCTAAAATCTAAAT